AGCAAACCGGGCCCATGTCTCGCTTGAACGAACCACAACCCCGTGTTGTTCACCAGGCAGCCCTCACTGGTCCTGAGCAGGACCACAGGTTGGATTATTATTGGATTATTATGTAGTGCTGCAGACAGTTGAGAAACTCCAGATCAGCATCAAATGACAAACATATGGAAGATACGTATTTAATTTTTGTCTTTGTTTTGGTGTTTCCTGCAGAGACCAACCAGGGAGCAAGGCTAAAGGAAAACAGAAAAAGTGAGAGCTCAGGGACGACGAAGCAGTGTGCAATAAAGTTGTTTGTTTTTAAACAGCATACAGTACAAACTGGTGCCCTTCTTATCCATAAACACAGTCAGACCACTGACCTGGATTTTAAAAGGTCAAGCTGTGTCTGGTTTTTCAATATTTTGGCTCAGTTACTTACGTTTCACACTACTGCTGCACATTTTCTGAAACATGCTGCACAACTATGAGAATGCTAAACATTTTTCAGCACTTAGTTTGAATCGGTGCACTATTTGCTACACATAAATGGTAAGGCGTTTGGCACTACAGGAGACAAAAGATTTATTAAAAACTAGAAAATGTTTATATCTCTGGGGCATTAATGATATAGAAATGTAATGCATTGAAGTTGCAAAAGCAGTTATAGTGCACTTTGAATATGCTTGGTTTCATTATATTTTTTTTCCTTGAGGATGTAGTGATGTCATCATATTGGGGTAACACATTCAAAACGCAGTTGATTTCATCAGTTTCTCGTATTGTCTTTTTTAATATTGTCATGCAGCCAGACCGGAGAGAACATAGTGAATTACTGAGCTGTGTGGAATGCGCTAATGCACTTAGATCATACCTGTTTTGTCTGAGATTATGTTGTCTTGTACCTGATGCGACAGATATGTACTTTATCTGCTGTAATCTTATGTAAAAAGAACTATTACCCTTCTCTTTTTATATTGTTAATTTGGTGTTGTCTCGCTTTTCATCTAATGAACTCCGTTCTGCATTGCACAAACTGTCGACGTGTGAATTTTTCTCAGTGATTTGTGTATTTTTACGAGCTTTAACAGTGAAGAAAATGTATCAACTGAAAATAAAAGTGATAAGACTAATCTGTTGGTTTTTTTTTTAACTATATACAAAGGTTATCCTCAATATTTGGAAGTCAGTCTGAATATTGAATAACATAGCATAGCCAGTGTCGTAATGAAGCCCTTGTCTCTAGGAGTGACCGGGGGTGGTATTTTTGGATCTAAGCACTTGTCAGTAGCTCAGATTGGTCTGAGATGTTACACAGCTGCAAGCGTGCCTCTCACATGTTTCTATATCAGACTGCATACATCCCAGAGCTTCAGATACAATTGGAAGAAGCTGCAGAAACCTGACCTGTTAACAAAGTCCTCATTCACCCTCTGAATACACAGCACAAGGGCCAAAAGAGCATGATGGTATGTAAATATAGAGTTCTGTGCAAAAGTCTTGAGACACCTTTCATTTCATTATATTTTGCTTCTAATGGCTCAGACCTTTACTCTGTACATTGGCTGCTTTTTCAGTCATTTTCAGTCCAGTCCTTATGCCTGAACCATTGTTTTATAAGTGCTTTTTTGTTAAGCCACTTAACACTGACTTATTCAAGCATAAAGGCACCATATTCAAGGGATGAACCATGTTTGAGCCTTCACAGACAAATGAGCAAAACAATTTTAAATATTATTTTTAGACACTCATTTGCAGCCTGTCATAAAAACACACAATTTATTCACATTTCTTTAGCTGAATTTATGAAAAATCCCAACAATAACATGTTGACATTAAATACTATTTTTTCACCAACAAGGTGATTCCCAAAGATATATTAGCAGAAAACTTGCATATTTCTGCATCGTGTCCAGCTTGTCCTTCAAAACATTAGGAAACTGGATAAGTGAGAGACAAAAGAAGAAGTGACAAGCTTAAAAAAGCTAATTGCAGCAGAGGAACGGTATCTGAAAGTCACATCCTTAAGAAACATGAAAAATTTCAGCAAACATAAGTAGAAAGATTTTATTAGCGAATACAAACGTGTTATAAAAGACTTCACCTGCGCTTCTGCCGCCACCTGCTGGTCATCTTCCAACATAACGTCTGTCAGAATTATTTACAAAGTGGTGGCAAAAACACAACTTCACGCTCCACCAAATATACATGACCTTTTGACCTGCTGACATAAATCATCATCATGGCCAATGTAGCATGAAAGTCAGAAGTAAATATTTTACAATTCTGTCACCTTTTACAAAACACCTGGTGCATAAAGAGCTGTAACCATCAGTCCAAATCTATATGATTCCTTGAGGCTGTCCCTTTCCTGCAATCTTCTTAGAACACTCCAGCAAAGCATTGTGGATATCTTTGGCACAGGAGATCTGAGATTTGATCATGCCAAGGTACTGGGCATATGACATGGACTCTGTCTGGACAGTGTCTGGCTTGGTGGCTGTTGGGACCAGGTTGGGTGAGTGTTTGGCACTGTCGATGCTCTGTGAGAGGCACTCATATGCTAGTCGCTGCACAGAGAAGAAGAAAAAATTCAGTTTGTGGAGGAAATCTTAAGTGTAGATACAGTGCAGTGGTCCCGCGTTTATCGCGGGAGTTACATTCTAAAAGGTCTTTTAGATTTGACTGATAACTTCATTAATTTTAATGCTTTTTTTAATAGTCAGTCTTGAGTTAAGTTCTTTTTCATCTGTTTAAGTCATTAAAACATATCACAATGAGATTGGTTTACACCCAATTTAAATATTTGTAATGTTTTGTAAGAAAAAAGGTTTACAGTCATATTTAGATTTTAGGGGTACAGTTATGATCTCTTACAGAAATGACAAAACACGCACAAAAATCAACACATAAATGTGTCTGGATGTCTGTTTTTACTCCATGATGGATTGTTTGTTTGTTTGAATCTTACCAAACATAGCTCAAGTTGATCGCAAAGGGCATAAAACTCCTCCAGGCTTTTGTCAAAGCGCTGAAGTGTCACTGAAGTGTCGCTGGTTTTTCTAAAACAAAAGGAAAAAAAAGACACACATAGAAATAAATCAGAAGGCTGCTTGATACAGACATACAGATCAGAGGTTGCCACAAACGACGCTACTTACATGCCGTTGTCAATTGTCGTGTTATATGCCAAATTCAGGGAGGCGATTCTCATTACATTCTGCATTGGAAAGAAGTAAAGTAAATTTTATTCACACTCTACACCTTCACAGTATGTTTCAGATCAATATTGAGCCAGGCGAAGAATTCCTTCCTAAGTGTCTACAACAGATTTTGGATAATAGTGAATTAGTGACTAATGATCCTTATTAATGTTTCAAAGAACAGGAAGATAGTATATTTTTAGGTTTTACATGACTGTCAAAACGATTTAAATATATATTTATTCAAAGGAAAATGTCAAGATAATTCCAGAACTGATTGGCTGTTTAACTACACATTTACACAGGACTTTACAGGACCCGGCCAAATATGTTGGGAGGCAGGCAGTTCCCATGGTAATGTGAAAGTCCCCTTTGACCTCCGTCATAAGAATCCAATAAAAATACACATCAAGAGGGGTGGGATGTACAGTTTCACGGTTTCCATATTCACTAAAATCAGTTTAATTGAAGTAGAACCACACTGGTGGATCTAAAATCCACCTCAATAGATCGGGATTAACGTCATTGTACAAAGATTTGAAGCACCTGTGCAACAGTATCGAATTATAAAATATATTTTTATGTATACTGGGAAACTTTCGGGAAAGGTATCAAATTTCAGGCTAAAATAATTAAATTTGTTTTGTTTTTTACTGCTGTTAAATGTCAAAACGAACAGTATGTGAGGGTTAGCATCTTCAGCCAACTACATGCGCAGCACTTACCTGTAAGCTCTCCTTTAGCTGCGGTATAAGCATCTTAAATCGCTGAACTGGGTCAAAGTCTTGCTGTTGACTCAGTTGCTGTTGTTGTTGCTGCTGTTGTTGTTGTTGTTGTTGCTGCTGCTGTTGTTGCTGCATTGAAGCAGACTGTTGTTGTAATCCGGCCTGAGACATCGACCCTCCTGGTTGCGGCTGCTGAGACGCCATCTTGTTCTGCTGTGACTAGAATATCCGGGAAAATATCCGGTTCTATAATTTTCAAAATAAAAGTAATTCTTAAGAGGGTCACTGAAGGAAGAGGGAAGGGACGGGTATAAAATAAATTTAAAAAACAACAAAACACTCCTCAAAATCTTCTATATTAAACCCTATATTATACATTTTAATTGGATTAAGCAACAAACAAATACTGATTTTAGCACAGAGTCACCACATTATAAACTTCCAGACTTTGAAGAGACCTTGTAATGAAATGGGTCCATTCAGAAGAAAATAACAGACTCGTTTAGGTTAGGTGATAGCTTTTGTGTGTCAATTTGCCACTTTAATGTAAAAAATTTGTTGTCCCTTAGTTTTTTTCTACCTTCTGTGGCCCTAATACTCTTTTGTACAGTCTTGATTATTTTGAACTACATGTACAACCTTATTCATTCCCAGAGATACTGTTTTTATTAATTGTAATAATACTTTAGTTTGTTTTCCGTGGTTCTTTTTCATTTACATAAAAATACAATTTTTATTTTTGCGATATTTAATGTATTTTCTGTACCAGTGATTGTATGAATGACTTTAAAAAAATTACAGGCTTTACAAAGCAGGAACAGATAAGGAATTCATCAGAGATTCATGGATGTAATGATGAGAGATGCTGAGGATAGGGTGATATGGAGGCAGGTGATCCTCCTCCTAAATAAGCAGTTTAAAGAAAAAGAAAGAGGTCTTTAAGGGGAAGAAAGAGAGACTGATTCAGCTAAAAAATAAACAAAACCCTAGTTTATTGTAATATTCTCCAGTCCAGTAGGTGGCAATAAAACACATCTAGGCTGGTTTGAAAGTCGCCAAAGGTAGAAGAAGAAGCAAGCTCCGAGGAGGGGAGGGCCCTGCAGCTGCTGCTTTCTGGCAGAAACCCCGTAGTGTAGCACCGCAGCGCCATTCGGTAACTGCAACAGTATCCAAAATGGCAGGAGCTGATGGAGACGATTCTCTTTACCCTATCGCCGTTCTCATTGATGAACTGCGAAATGAGGACGTTCAGGTAGGAACCCTGATTTTAATATTATTGTTTTTTTATATTAAAGATCAAAGCGGTTGGCATAATTTCTTAGTCGTCAGATTGTTAGCTAGCTATCTAGCAAATATGCTAAGTAACGTTCTCGGTCTGGGCCTATCAGGAATTTTCTGCCGGGCCCACCCTACCCGGCTAGTCTAGTCTGTTGTCGACAGTAATATACCGCTCTTTGAGTTGGTTTTTACGCAGATGTACATTTTAATATATTATCACGAAGATTGACAAACTAGGTCATTCATTTAGCTGCTAGCTAATGTCTAGCCAAGCTAGCCGAATGAGCGTTCAACTAAGGAATCACAACAGCGGGGCGTTTGAGGCCACAGTGGGTATAGATCACGGCTGATCACGCAATTTATTCCTATCAGTCAGTGGAAAGCTTTGCCTTCTAGCAAGCAATTTGAAACGCTGGGTCGCTTTAGTTAGCAACTTGTGACGCAATTTTAAACCAGATGATAACACTAATACGCGTTCTTGGGTTAACAGTATGAATTATAGGGTTGTATTTATTTATTTATTTTGTTATTGGCTCAGGGTTTCTGAATCCATCACTAATTTTCCATTTTTCTTCCAGTTGCGTCTGAACAGCATCAAGAAGCTGTCCACTATTGCTCTGGCCCTGGGTGTAGAGAGGACCCGAACTGAACTCCTCCCTTTCCTCACAGGTAATAAAAGCAGTTTTGTATTAAAGCGCTGGATGTGTTGCACTTAAAACTGGGCCTTGTAGTTGCTGAGGCTGCCAGTAATCCACATGTAGATTTACAGTCCTTCTCTCACCCTCAGACACCATCTATGATGAAGATGAGGTGCTTTTGGCATTGGCTGAACAGCTTGGCAATTTCACTATGCTGGTGGGAGGTCCAGAGTATGTCCACTGTCTTCTGGTAAATCTACAAGCTTCAGATTTTTTTTGTAAACACATGCTTGCAAGGAGATGCATTCCCCATTATATTAAATCTGTATTGACATTTCCTTAGAATTAGCTAGTTTATGTAAAAGTCAATTTACTACACATGAACTTTGCATCAACGTATTTTTCAAGAGTGGGCCAAATGCTAATGTTAAAGTCAGATTATATTAGGTTTCACTAGGACACAAAGGGTAGTATCTAAACACACCTTAACCCACACATAGTTCATTTACTGGATTTAGACTAGTAATAACAAACTGTTGACACAATTACATCAGTCCCTCAGCTCAACAGTTTCACCATAGGACTGACTTGTGGACTTAGGATCAAAGATGATCATGTTTGTGACGACAAAAATAAGAGTAATCGACTGACATTTCAGCTCTTCAGATTTGATGATTTTCCTAACTTTTCTTTGTTTGTTGTAAAGAGATTTTTAAATTTGGAATTAGCAGTACATTATATTCTATACAATTGTTTTATCACAACCTTGTATAAATTTTCAGTTTGTTGAAAGGTACATTTTCTAAATTCAGACTGTAAGCAATCCTATGCAGCCAGTCATTTGTTAGTATTTATGTAGCATCTAGAGATTCATTGTGAGTAACCCCTTAATGCCTATTGTATCATATTTGCTATATAGAGTTTTTGCGAGATGTTTATTTGTGATGCTTTTCCATCATCAGTGTGGATTAAGTTGATCTCCACTTATTTCTTCTTGATGTTTAGCCTCCTCTGGAGAGTCTAGCTACAGTGGAAGAGACAGTAGTCAGAGACAAAGCTGTGGAGTCCCTGCGAAAGATCTCTCAGGAGCACTCTCCAGTTGACCTGGAGGTCCACTTTGAGCCTTTGGTGAAGCGGTTGGCCAGTGGTGACTGGTTCACTTCTCGCACATCTGCCTGTGGCCTCTTTAGCGTCTGTTATCCTCGTGTTTCCAGCACCGTCAAGGCTGAGATTCGCCAGTAAGTGGCTTCTTGAAAAGTGGACAGATTTTTAAATTGCTCCAAATCCTTTTTTCTTAACTTATTTGCTTGTAATGAGTCACTTGGTGGTTGTTTTAGTCTTCTAACAAGGTTTTATTTGATGTTTGTTGTTATTTCTAGGCATTTTCGCACCTTGTGCTCAGATGACACTCCTATGGTGCGTCGTGCTGCAGCATCCAAACTGGGGGAATTTGCCAAAGTCTTGGAGCTGGAGTATGTAAAAAGTGACATAATTTCCCTTTTCACTGCCCTGGCCTCTGATGAGCAGGTATGAACATCCATCCATCCAAAAAAAAAAAATAAAAATCCATTGAACTGCAGTGTTCTTATTTTGGGTAGTCCATTCTTGGTGTCGTTGCCTGTTGGGAGGCCAAACTGATCCCATCTTTCTTCATCAGGACTCAGTGCGGCTGCTTGCAGTGGAGGCTTGTGTCAGTATTGCCACTCTGCTGCCTCAGGAGGATCTGGAGACTCTGGTGATGCCAACCCTACGTCAGGCTGCAGAAGATAAGTCCTGGAGGGTCCGTTACATGGTTGCTGACAAGTTCTCTGAGGTAAACTGAAAAACAACTTCTTTGATTTAAATGTAGAATTGACATTTTGGAAATTCTGTTTAAAACCAACTTTAAATAGGGCACTTTTTTGATATAGAGTAATTCTGAAGCGGAGTTGACTGTTTTTCTTTTACTGGATATAAAACCAACAACAGTAAAAGGTTCATACATTTCAGTGTTAATCTGCTGTATTTCTTTGATACTTGTTAGTAATCTTAGTTTAGACACATGTAGTGCTTTCAAAGAAGTGTTTGACATCACATCATTAAATAAACCACCCCTGTCCAAACATTTGTGCTGCATATTTACTGAGCAAAGGTGTCATTGGAATAATAATGATTAACAAACCCAACATCCTCAAACAAGTAGCTGAGATTAAATCTTAACTTCCTGTTAAAACTTTCAGAAAAAATACTAAGAGCAAAAACAGGATGGAGAGATTTAAAGGTGGCTCTCTTAGACTTGAGCTGAATTAAAGTTCTTTGTTGCCATGCTGCCGTGGGCACAACTAATCACATGCATTCAGCTAGGTCATTGAGCCATTTTTGATCAAAAGAATCTATGCAGCTGCAAAACTCGATTGAGCTTTATTATGAAGGTGACACAAGTTTAAATAAGCCCACAAACATTACTAGTAGGTAATTAAAATCTTTTACCAGTGGGATTTAATTAAAATTTGTAATATTTGGAGCCTTATCTTTGCATTTTCATTACAATAACACCATGTTTTTGATGTGTTTAGTAAGTTCTAGAGCAAATAAAAAACATGTGTTTTTATTGGCAATAAAACAGTTGTGATATAAGGAAAAATGCATAGTAAATATTTATTAGCTTGAACAGCCCCTGTTTCAGAGGCTATTTTGAGTTTTACTTGTGTCAGATTATAAGTAGCAGCAGAAAAGATTTAAGTATTGTACATTTTAAAAAGTCAGTTTCCAGTTAAGCCGAAGATTTAGCAAGACTGCAGCTTTGACATGCATCCATGCAATACACGGCTATACGGGGTCAGCAAAATTAAGAGGATAAGGTGCCAGGTGATAGACCCAGGCCATGGCACGTACATTAAAAAAATCTGTTTTATACATAGAAATCGTAAAGTTTATTTCCATCTTAATATTCATTGAAACCTCTTAACTATCAGTGTTGAGAATTTTGAGTCAGGTTGTTTGCTCATAATATCACAATGTGAACTTTTAGCCACATTAAAACCTCCCAGTATCTTCCAGTGACCTTTTTACTGGAAGACACTGGGAATTGTGTCACATGCTTACTTGGTAAATGGAGATTAATTGATTTCTGTCTGAATGTAGCTCCAGAAAGCAGTGGGCCCAGAGATCACAAAGAACGACCTGGTCCCAGCTTTCCAGAATCTTCTGAAGGACTGTGAAGCTGAGGTCCGTGCGGCTGCAGCCAACAAAGTCAAAGGTAGGAGATTTTCTTGAAATGAATCGCACTGGCCGAACTTGATTCAGCCTCTTGACCACTGCTTTCTATATTTTGATGATGTATTTTTCCCTTTGTTAGAATTCTGCGAGAACCTTCCAGAGGACAATCGTGAGCAGATCATCATGACTCACATCTTGCCTTGCGTCAAGGTAAAAATAAATAAACTTTTCTGTCAGCTGCAGTGTGATATTTCTTGTCAGTAAGACAAAAGTTTTGTGTTCACTGGTAAAGCAAGAAAAACAAATAAAAGGTTATATTTTTATTGTTCCTTTAAAGCACTTTTGAATGCATATGTGTTTATTTATTTTGGTGGGGGGGTTGACCAATGCCATTGCTGACAGATTTTAAAGTGTGGATAATCCTTGAATCTTAGTTGTCTCCTGTGGAGGGAGGGGAAAAGGAGACTATTTTGTATAAAGTGTTCACTGAGCAGACATATTTGGTTGGTGACCCTTAGTCTGCCATCACCTTCACAAAAAGTAAAATGTTTGTTTGTGTAAACCTAAGAATTTTGAATAAGAGCACCGGGCTGTTTTTGCAGGGAAGATCCATTTCTCAGACAAAGACATAGTTAACAGTTAATCCGTAGCCTGTAAGAATAGCAGGAGAATCTAATTATGAGCTCTGCATCTTATAATGTAGTGTTTGGGGCAGATAATGGTTACACTGTCATGAAGTCATGATGTTGAAAAGGTGGCATCCATATCTCTTATATTCTAGAGAATATAAGAGATTGAGAAAATTAATCTAGTAATAAATAATTCAGGTTTTTCTCATTTATCGCACTTTTTTTAAAACCATGTTATCATTTATTTATTTAGTCTGTTTGGAAGCAAATCTCTGAATTCCTTTAAATTGATGTCAAGGCCTGTTTTGTGGTTATGTTTTATAGACTATACATGCCAGTGTTGTTCAAGTTTTAAGCAGCAGGTGGCACTATTGTGTTGTAACGAACTATTGTGTCAGTAAGGGTAGTGGAAATACAGGTAGCCTCACAGTGGAATTCCTGGAACTGTACTTTTTTTTTTTTTTTTTTTTCTCCTTTTTCGGTGTGTGTTTGAAAGAGAGCAAGCTGCATGACTGTCATAAGAAGTCTGTGTTTGTCCTGTAAACATACATACAGCAGTGGGAAAAGCCATCCAGGTAGCAACAAACACACTTCCCTGGAAAAATGAAATAAACGTCATAGCACGGGCACTTGGCACACACATACCATCACTCCCACTGCAGAGTTGATTTTATTGGTAGATTGAAATGCCTGGTGTGCTGATATATGTTCTGGGAAGGGAAAATAATTTTTCAAAGGTTTTATAGTTCATTAGAGGCTTCCATGTAATACTGGTTTGAAAACACAAGTAAACATGAGCATTTAGATAACAAGCGATTTCTTTGCTTGTTTATGTACACCCATTTCTGTTTCTGTCTACATCACATTTTAAGTTTCCACGCACAGTTGTTAGATGCAATGACTGTAATTCTCACTAGTATTAAGTTCACTTTACCATGTATTTACACACAGGTCGATTATAGGCTCCTTGTGTGCTGCGTTGCAAATATGAGCCATTGCAGTGGTCTTGATGTTTATTTACATACTTTGTGTTAACTATTTGTTTGGGCTGATCTCTCTGTCTCCTGTGTTTCCCGTCCTCCATTAGGAACTTGTTTCAGACACCAACCAGCATGTGAAATCGGCTCTGGCCTCAGTCATTATGGGACTTTCAACCATCCTGGGCAAGGACAACACAATAGAGCACTTACTGCCTCTATTTCTGGCTCAGCTCAAGGACGAGGTAAAGGAAATGCAGATTTTTAATTGTGGTTTCTTTATATTAGACAGCTGGCTTTGGAAATCCACAAGGCACAGTTGTAGTTTGGTACCACTGTAAACAAAAGCTGCTTACAAGGCAGCCCAATTTGACCAAGTTCTTTGGCCTTCTTTGATCAGCATGTCTTAGACAGCAAAGCCACTTAGCTGCAGCCACCAGATGTACCTGGCTGCCACCTGGCTGGGTAGGAGGATGATTCATGCAGTTGGCAGCCTAACTGAGACCTTACAATTGGAAGACTGATTGGCTGCTGTCTTGAGGAAAGCATAATTAAGTCAGACACAGCTTAGCCAAATGGGTTACTGCTTGATGCATTCTGATTGTATTTTCAGTAATAAGGAATAATTGTGGATATTTGCTGATTAAAGGAGGTAGGGTTGTGTGTCTAACATCAGAGTTATTTTTGCAACTGTCAGTATTACTTTTGTAATCATTTTTCAAAGAAGCTGCTGCAAGAATCAAATTGTAGAGCAGTCCTGATTCTGTGTTAGGTTGATGTGTTTTAGCTCCTGAATATTGATTTACATTGTTCCTCTAAGTGTGTTAGGTTCATGTTGAAGAATAGCTCACTCACATCTTCCCACATTAATACATAGTCCCATTACATTAGTGAATATTGATATCAGACACAAGTTTGGCAGGTCGGCGACATCAGTGTTTTGGAAGGCTTATGCTTTAAGTTCCTCAACTCTCTTCCTCTAGTCCTATTTAAAGACGGCCCATTTTCCTCACGGCACAAACACAAGACTAAGTGACTAATTAGATTAATGTCTAAACTGACAGCTTTGACTTGCAAATTTCAAATCAAAGTACATTTATCTGAGGAAAGGGAGACACTGTACAGATTTCAGATAGTTTCTGTGACTTGTTCAGCTACTGCTCTGTCTCAGCTTAAGTTAGTGTGACTGAATGTGTCAAATCATTCTTCAATTTGTGGTTTCTGGAGTTTAAAGTATGTTGATTTAAAAAGTTTAGCTGTGTACTTTTGCTGTTCCAGTTAATATCCTGTTCAAAGCTGAACAAACGCAAGCCCTAATTTCAGGCTCCTTATAAACATTGGTTCCGATTTGTAAGACATAACCTCTTGGCAGTCTGGTCTTTTTTGATGGGGTTAGCATAGTTGGATACATAATATGTGATTGGTCTTTTTTTTTTCTTTTTCTTAAGTGTAAAATATGTAGGTTAAGAAGTTTTACATTTTCGATTATATCGGGTTTGAAATGAATCAGAATTTGATGACAGTAGGCTGGCATGACCTTAACCTATCTCTCGTAATTCGTCTGTTTTAGTGCCCTGAGGTGCGTCTGAACATCATCTCCAACCTTGACTGTGTGAACGAGGTGATTGGCATACGACAGCTCTCTCAGTCACTGCTGCCGGCCATTGTGGAGTTGGCAGAAGATGCAAAGTGGAGGGTTCGCCTTGCCATCATAGAGTACATGCCCTTGCTGGCAGGACAGCTGGTGAGTCGTGGAGTCTAGGAAAGACAGCTGCAAGCCATATAACATGTTTTAAATGTCATCCTTAATTAACACCATGTGTAAAAACACCAACATTAGCTAAAATGCTATCAGGCCCGATTTGACTGTAGATAACCAGGAAATGGTTGTGATTATATTTTATCCTTTTTCCTGCAGGGAGTCGAGTTCTTTGATGAGAAGCTCAATACCCTTTGTATGGCCTGGCTTATTGACCATGGTAAGGTGCTGTTATGGGTTTCAAAGTTTGTCAATTTGATGTACTATCATCGTCATAGGACGATACTTTATCTGTTTGGTCTTAAGGTGGAGCTGAGTATTTGACTGTTTGCATATTTGTTTGTTGGGGAGGTATTTGGTTTTCAATTTTGGGATTTGGATATTTGTTCATATTATTTACATGTAAATGCATACAGTCAGCTTTGGTGCCTGACACCCTTCTCACTCACAGCAGTGATCTTCACACTTCAGTTCACCTCATTGTTGCCAACTTGGCGAACTTATGAGACGCTGCTTAAACAGATGCTTAAATGGGCAGCTTTCTTTGCAACACCCCCTTTATCCTATGAATACAAATCTTAGCCTGAAAATTGTCCTCGTTTTCTAGTTTTCGCTGCAAGGAGGGTTGCACTTACTGTGGCAATGCCCCTAATTCTCTCGCCTCTTCCCAATGGCATTTTATTTACTTTGGCTGTCAGTGCTCGGTAGCACTCTGATACCTTCATCATACACTAGCTTTTTTTGTTTTGTTTTTTTTAAACATAAGTAGGAACTGCTTATTCCTTTATGAATTTTCACCATTACATATCCACACAGTTGTATTTTGATTCTCTCTTTAATTTCTCTGACTGAACTTTGCACGCAGTTTAGAGAGGTCCTCTTACCAGTCTGATACTATTTTATGACCAGGTCAGAGAGACTGTTGGAGAGAAGAGACTAATAAGCTTAGAGGGTGGAAGTGAAGAAGTTTCAGGGTAAAGAAGGGGTGAGATGGAGGTGTTTTGTTTTATACATACCATTGGAGACTCTCCATCTGTAGAGTAGTACAGCTGTAATCAGCAAAGAACTAAATCATCTAGTACAATGGTGTTTGAGAAGTTGTCAGATCTTGTGTCACAATAGAACTGTATATGGACCCTCTCATTTCCATTTTGACACATGAAGGAGTCATCTACATTTGTGCAGATCGAGTTGCTACGTTGTGTTAATCACGGCAGTTCTTCTATTGGTTTTTCTGCCCAGTTAAGGGGCTCCTCTTTCATTGCATTCAGTCACGTAGCAAGTTTCAGTCAATTTAAGAAACGTTATCTTAACCCATCTTCTCCGTTCACTCTGCTTTGAGGGAGTAGCTGCACACATTTTCAGTGAAACAGAAAACAAAGAAAAAGAGAATCTAGAACCTTGAGTGAAAACAGTTGTCGGCACAAAGACTTGCACTGACTGGAAATTGAAGCAAATACACATAAATGAGGTAAACGGGGTCCTGTTGGAAACTTTTAATAATTTTATCCTGATGGATAATTGTATACCGTTATTTCCAGTATATTTTTTTTAAACATGTCTTGTTGATGTATTTATCTCTCACTGTTATTGATTCACATTGTGTTTTATGTAACACACAGAAAGCCTGTAAAGAGAATTTCTCTGAAAATTTGCTCTCAGGAGAGCCTGCCCTCAGACCCTCCTAGCTGTAGCAGCATTTTACTCTGTCCACGCGATGCTGTCACCCTTCGCTGTTTGCATCCCCATAGAACAGTTCAGCCACTCTTTCATACTTTGTTACGTCAGTTAACCTTGTTTTTCTATACAACAGCCTGCAGTTCTAGCTTTGGATTTATACTGTTGTTAATGGACTTTAAAATCCCTGTTGGGTCACTGAGCGAGTCGGTGTGTGTTTATCTGTGCATGTTTGCCCTGGGGTCTTTCTCTTCCCGGTAGTTTTAAACGGTTCTGCGAAACAATCATCCTTATTCAAACGCTGAAAGAGCTGTTTATCCTTAGAACTTCACAACACACCCAACTGTATTTATAACCTAGAATATTTGTGGTATGCATTAAGTTTTCCCTGAGTATGTAGTGTTCTTTTGACATTGAGTTTTCCAATTAGAGAGAGACACGCTCTCTGTTGAGGACAAAGGGCCAGCTGGGTTACATCATTGGAATGCTGCTGGTGTGAGTTTCTCTACGTGTGTGTGTGTGTGTGTGTGT